TCTTGAATTCATGGAATGCTTGGCCAATTCCACTAACGAGTGCTTGGCTTCACGTGGTGGGAGACAACCGGGGTGTGCCCGGAGTAAGCTGCAGTTCGACGGTCATTTGTTCGAAATTACGAAAGTGAGAGCTGTTTACCATCAAGGGCGTGTTTAAAAGTCCCCTTTACGTCGACTGGCAAGAGCCGTCCATTGTGTGCCGCGTTGTAGCCCACATGCCAATGGTTGACCGTCCGCCAAGCTCCTCGACAAACTTCCAAGAGAGCTTGGCAGCTCCTTGGTGACCCAGATGTAAGTTTGCAAGAGAAACAATCAGACCTCATTGGGCTGTTTGAATAAAGGATAGTGGCAGTGACTCTAGGAAAGAGCGACGGAGATAAACGACTCCACGAGTCATTGTGTTTGCTTTCTAATTTTGTTTTGCAATTGATCCCAATCTTCCTAGCCCCCCCCCCCCCCCCCCCCAATATATAGTACATAGTTACAGAATAATGCAGAATAATGCAAAGAGTAAGCTGGTGTGATCAGAAGAATAATGAAGGACATGCTGAGTGAGGATGATAAGAAGCAACAGTTAATGTGTTGTGTGATGAGGTGGCGTATGCAGGACGCATCCTAATAGGGTAACAGCTGGAAGTATGACGAAGATGATTCTCCATGACAGGTTTATTTTTTTTGGGGGTTATGATGATTCTGCAAGTTGCCCATGGAAGAGAATAGGGGACGAGGAAGTCAATCGGTCGTTGGGACAATGTCAGATTTCGGGATTAAACTTTCCACGGGCAACGCTGAAGATGACATCTGTCACGGGCATGAACTCTTGAGTTATGGGGATGTCAAGAGATGGATGGATGGATAGCCGCTCAGTCGTGCTGTGTAAATTGTTTAAGTTGTGGACTTCTAAGCCATGTTCCTAAAAAAGGCCACTAAATGAGATTTTGGAGATTAGGGTTCGTGCACATGTGTGTGTCACGGTGACCTAAATGAAAAAAAAAATGTTCATCATTTTAATTCACATGCTGCTTGGCAACCAGCGAAGGCACAGAAACAAATGGAAAATTACCAGGAGCTAAATGTCATTTCCCTCCAAATAATTACAAACTTGTGTTAATTTTTGAGATGTTCACATAGCGCTTCACACATATATATACACACATACACAAGTACAATTTTAATACTGCTGCTTCAGGAAACAGTGGTATTTCTGCCAAGACCTGCACATTAACAATTTAATAGGCACGCTCGCTACATGACTATGTTACGTTATATATATTTTTTAAACAAAACCGCCGCTCCATACTACGCAATGACACTTTTGTTGTTGTTAATATTACGATGCAAACTGCAGTAAAAGGGGATGGCCAGAAAACCGACGAAGCCGCCAGTGGAAACAATGATGCTGTCGCACGAGTAAACACAATCGTGAATAATCATAATCATAAAACTTGCAAAAAAATAAAAGAGTTGGGCCTCACGCCCACGGTTTCACAGAATTGCGTCACAGTCGGCGATAATAAAAGTCCACATCTGCCCAACAATTTCAACCGCCCTGCGCAAACCCACAGTGTGCACGCGTTTTTTTTTTTCACGGTAATCTCCGGGCAGCGTCGCGTCAAAGTTTATTTGGCGGTGCCAAACGAATTCAAAAGGTGGCCTTAGATGTCTTGGGGTGAATGTGGCACGGGGGCTCGGCCGAGGTGCGCAACTCGGTGCCAATCAAGTCGGCGGTTGATGTCTCGTTGATCTGACCTAAGGCAACGGAGCCGCAGCCGATGTTATAACTGTGTACGGTGAACATTTAATCCCTTTCGCGAATATAATGAATCACTCTTTTCCCCCTGTAAATGATCAGGACGTCTTGTACTGCCTGTTTCGACAAACACTTGTGAACGTTTTTCTTTTTATATAAGGGAGGAGATTGAACCACCTGATGTGGGTGCTACATGTCAGTGACGCGCCAATGGAAAAAAAAAAATCTTCCCTTCATCAACCCTCCACATTGGCTGTTTTACGCTTTTAAAGTGCGAGAGACAGTCGGTTGACTCACAAAACACATTATATTTTTTGACGGCCGATTTGAATACTCGGGGGGGACGGGGGGCGAGGTGAGCGTGTCTGTCTGCGATGCTCAAAGTGGCCCTCGCAGATGTCCCCTGTGAACGTCGCTCGCGTCTAACGAGCAACAACTGTGGCGGTACAAACGTGCTCACGGGAAAGGGCGCCCAGTGACTGTCAAGACGTTCGAGTGTTTAGCAATGATTGTGTCGATACTATAAACGCATGGCTGGCATGCGCATGAGCGTCATCCAATTCCAGATGGTATTATCATTACATCCGTGTTGCAAAATCAGTCCGTCTGAGACCTTTTCTCTGAGCGAGTCGTTAACAGCGCCATTAACCCATTAATTCATCCAATTACTTTTCTCTCCTGTGATCCCATTATTAATTTCATAACTCAGGCCGTTAATCTCAACGAGTGAATGAACACATTAATTGTTTATTTTCACAAAGCTGAACGTAGGTCCGACAAAATATCTGTTTGTGATGGAGACCCGAAAATTGGACGTTCTAGAAAACAAAAATTAATAGAATGACTAAAAATGGCAGCAAACCAGCAATAAAAATATACTGTACGATAAAAATAGTGCCAAGTAAAATAATGAAAAAAATGTAAGTCCTGGGGAAAGGTGTTAGAGTTAAATAATGAAAAAAAACATGACCTTAGGAAAACTATAAACATGAAAAATCAAGTCTAAAGATGTTTAATTATCCATTATAAAAGCTTATTCCCTTTACTCAACCATCAATTAACTGCCAAAACCAATCGATTATTAAATGTTGCAATCGCATATTACACAAGCTAGCCTTTTGCCCGTCCAAGGACAGGTGTATTTCAGTAAATCTGAAACTTGCAAGCGAAAAGCAGACCGCGACGTGATATTCAATGCATCAATTCGTGTGCAATTTGTAAAGCCGCGGTGACACAGACTTATTTTATTTAAAGGTTATAATCCGGTGTTCATCATGACGTCCTTTTTACTTCTATGTCTCAACAACAGCGTTACGGAGATCACGTGACGTGAGGGTTCTGCCTTTGTAGTGAGGGTTGTAAGTTGACGCCGTGGAGGGGGGAGGAGGCGCCTCGCCCCCCCCCCCCCCCATGTGGAGTGACGTCACCCGCTAATTAATATTAATGGCGGGGGGGGTGTCCATTTTGACAACATCACCTTTTCATGATCATTAATGTGGGGGGTTGTTCGATGTGGAGTGACATCATCTGCTCATGATTATTAATGAGGGGGGGGGGGTCCATGTGGGGGACGTCACCTGTTCATGATTATTAATGAGGAGGGCTGGCCGGCGTGGAGTGACGTCACGCGTGGGACACACAGACATTCTTGGCTCATTAAAGTAGTAAATTCTCACCTAGAGTCATCTGCCCTGCGATAGTTGTTTTAAGAGAACTATAGGAAGAATCATGCATCCATAGGAGTTTGCATCAGCTGTCGGGGTTGTAGCGACACTTACACTTACAAAACGAGGCGTTAGATCGTGTATGTGGGAAACCATGATTTTCAATTAATGTACAATTAATGTTCAATGTCTAGGCATTTGACAAAGCACCAAATTAAAATAATCTTTAAAAAAGATGTGGGACCCCCAAATCTTCAAAATTAAAATAATCATCAGGGGGAGAATCATTTCAGGCCTACTAAGCAGCACCAGTGAGCCAGGACTAACTGGCTAATAGAGGCCTAGTAGGTAGCGTCGGTGAGCAAGGACTAGCTGGCTAATAGAGGCCTAGTAGGTAGCACCGGTGAGCCAGGACTAGCTGGCTAATAGAGGCCTAGTAGGTAGCGTCGGTGAGCAAGGACTAGCTGGCTAATAGAGGCCTACTAGGTAGCACCGGTGAGCCAGGACTAGCTGGCTAATATAGGCCTACTAGGTAGCACGGGTGAGCCAGGACTAGCTGGCTAATAGAAGCCTACTAGGTAACACTGGTGGAGCTAGGACTAGCTGGCTAATAGAGGCCTGCTAAGTAGCAATGTTGAGCTAGGACTAACTGGCTAATAGAGGCCTACTAGGTAGCACCGGTGAGCCAGCACTAGCTGACTAATAGAGGCCTAGTAGGTAGCGTCGGTGAGCAAGGACTAGCTGGCTAATAGAGGCCTACTAGGTAGCACCGGTGAGCTAGGACTTGCTGGCTAATAGAGGCCTACTAGGTAGCACTAATAAGCTAGGACTAGCTGGCTAATAGAGGCCTACTAGGTAGCACCGGTGAGCTAGCACTAGCTGACTAATAGAGGCCTAGTAGGTAGCATCGGTGAGCAAGGACTAGCTGGCTAATAGAGGCCTACTAGGTAGCACCGGTGAGCTAGGGCTTGCTGGCTAATAGAGGCCTACTAGGTAGCACCGGTGAGCTAGGACTAGCTAGCTAATAGAGGCCTACTAGGTAGCACTGGTGAGTTAGGACTTGCTGACTAATAGAGGCCTACTAGGTAGCACCGGTGAGCTAGCACTAGCTGACTAATAGAGGCCTAGTAGGTAGCATCGGTGAGCAAGGACTAGCTGGCTAATAGAGGCCTACTAGGTAGCACCGGTGAGCTAGGGCTTGCTGGCTAATAGAGGCCTACTAGGTAGCACCGGTGAGCTAGGACTAGCTAGCTAATAGAGGCCTACTAGGTAGCACTGGTGAGTTAGGACTTGCTGACTAATAGAGGCCTACTAGGTAGCACCGGTGAGCTAGCACTAGCTGACTAATAGAGGCCTAGTAGGTAGCATCGGTGAGTAAGGACTAGCTGGCTAATAGAGGCCTACTAGGTAGCACCGGTGAGCCAGCACTAGCTGACTAATAGAGACCTACTAGTTAGCACCGGTGAGCTAGCACCAGCTGGCTAATAGAGACCTACTAGGTAGCACCGGTGAGCTAGCACTAACTGGCTAATAGAGACCTACTAGGTGGCAACGGCCAGCTGCCGTTGGAGTGTGGCAACACTTACTCGTTGAAGATGAGGTCGGGAGCGAAGTAGAGCATCTGCCCATTGGCGAGCTTGTAGGACCTCCAGCCCATGGCAAAGGCCATAAGGCCCATCCATGAGTACTGAATCAGCGTCATCTGGTCGTCAATGTGCAGCTCCTTAAAACCTGCGGGCGGAGACCAACAGCACATCGCACACGTATCACCACACACTCTTGTTTCATGACACACCTCCTAAATAGAAACCTCTCTGCACTCATGATGGTTGTGTTGTTTGTGTGATATCCATGTTTTCATGGTGGCGGGGAGGGGGGGGGACATTGTGTTTGTGGACGTGTGGATTGATCAACATCGGTGATGAATATCTGAACCACTCCTGGGCCTCCTTCTAGGCTGACTCAGCCTTAAATAAGCGACTGGTGCTGTGTGTACACATCAGCACTGTGGGGGGCAGAGGCTGCCGGGCGTGGTGCTGGCCAAATCACCCGCGTGCTACCGTGCCGCCAGATTTAATTGGTGCTTGTTAATAGCACGCCATATGTAGGGTATACGGGAGACCTTTGCATGTTTGTCTTTGTTTGACCTTCAAGGCATTATACACATTTTACAATCAATACTATGGGTATAATGTGCTGCTCTGTGAGCGTTCCATATTGATTTATATTATTTTATCTCATGATTCCAAGAGCACAATTGGAATACAATTGGTGGGAAAAAGACAAAAAAAACATCCCTTTTTCTTATTAAAGGACATTCAAACTCGTATGGGATAGCCACGGGACACGTACCTCGAGTACTTGTCGACAAAATATGAGATGAAAGTAAAGGTGCTGTATTCAACAGCAAAACATGACGGGAATCCCAGCAGGCCTTAACGAAAGGATGACCAATTGATAGTGACTCCCCTGAACATATTCTGCACACAACCATGCGATGACCGCCAGGCTTAAGAGAGCCGGAAATGTAGCACTTTCATTTTTGCAGCAGAAGATGAAAGACAACTTTTTACTAGTTTCATCGTTATTGGGACTCATCAGAACAAAATAGCCAACTGTCTGATTTTTCGGTTTGCAGTTTTCTTCGAGATCTGACAACTATTCCCAGCATCCTGCCCTGTCAAGATTTTAAATCCTATGATGAATGCTACCTTTTATACGTGCATGAAACAAAACTGTGTGTTCACATGCCTGTTTTTGTTTTCCTTATTTGAGATGTGGTGCTGACATAAGCATAGATATTCTGTTATTTTGTTTACAAAATTTTTATTGCAATTTTCTCGCGGCCAGCAGCGAGAGACGTATTGCTTCCGTGTACTCTCAAGCGACCGTGAATAACAAACTGCATGATGAATTGATGTCACTGACATATTAATGGAGAGTGGCATCAACGGAATGTACATTCGTGAAAACCCATCGCTGAATGCCAGAGTGGCCACGGGTCCCGTTAGTTTGTGAACTCATCTGGGTCAACCTGATCTCTCCACCCATTTTCCAGGACAAACCATTCGAGTTTTCCATCGAGTGTGTGCGACAGGTGTCAGAAGTAAAGGCGGCGTGAGCCAGATGTCAATTATTCATGATGTTCAGTGCAATTCTCATTACTCGTATTGGTAACAGCTGGCGTGGCCAATATGAAAAATATGTGAATGGCTCATTTACTTAGTTACGTTGGCATTCCAGTTATTTTTTCCCTCTTCTAAGCCAATGTTCATCACCTACTTCATACTGCTGTTCCTTATGGTTCAGCGGAGTAATTACTCATACAACATGCATGTAATTGGTTATTTTATTGTTAAGGGACTTTAGGTCAAAGAGTACCTCTCCGTAATACGTGTACAGACGGATGATTGTTTGTTAAATGGATTTCTGTAACTTAGTGCCCTGTGCCCAGCTGTAAGCTGCATGCATCACAGGTAGCCTACAATAACATCCAGGCATAAACGGGAAGATCGTTGATCTTAATTTACGGGGTGGAATGGTGGCGCAGTGGTTAGCACACTGAGCTATGGACCTGACCGTCTGAGTGTGAATCCCGGCTGTAGACAATATCGGTGGAGACCGATATCTGAACTGATGCCGGGCGCCTCACTGAATCCTCTCCAAGCCACACTGACCCAGCAAGATGAAATATAAAAATTGTATAAATGTTAATATTTTAATATGTAAGCATATACATTTTATATATGGTCAAATGGGATTCAGGACCGAAAGGCATGGAGACGCATTTATCCAGAACTGAATTGACAAAGCGCTATAAATTATGATTATTATATTTCTTATTTCATCCCATTTTACAATAGAAACATTTCAGTTAATTCTGAAAAATATTAATTCAGCAACAAATAAAACAAATCTAAAACTGCAATTTGTGAATTTTTAACGGCTCTCAGAAATGCCAATCAATCCCATAAGACACGCATTTAATCATACACCCGCAGTTGTGTGTGTTTAATTTGGTCAACCTGCCACTGTTTGTTATTGTGTGCTGTGGCTCTTCACGCCCTGTCGCTCCGTTAAGGCGTGCGCGGTTAACGAGTGCAGCCTTCGTGCTACGGACCACAAACTTTGCTCGATGGAGGATAACTTTGGTCCCAGAAAGAGAGAACAATCCTCCCCCACATGGGCCCTCGCTCAGGCCGGTGGGATGGGCCAGCATTTAGATGCCTACGCGATGCCCGACCCTCTACTCAGAGGCCATCCCAGAATGTCTCGGTTTCATATTCTGGGCATCTCACTGCCTAGTTACACAGGTGGTGAGGATCCGATCTCAGTCTCGATCCCAAACCCACCCTTACAGCCGCTTTCCAATCCTCCATGGCGCATCATTCACTGTCATTCCCCAATCGATTATGGACGAGGTAAATTGAAATGTGGGTGAAATATATACTTCTTGTTTCGATGCTTCGGCAGTAAGCTGCACATACTGCACTGTGCAACTTCTACACAGGGCCTATCTAATCAGGAAGCACTTCGCCATCGAGCCTCAACGTCGTGTTGGCTCATGTCAGTGTTTTTATAGGGGTAACCAGAGTCATCACCATTGTTAAGAACATTCAGTTGCTCCGCTTTCTGATGGTAAATCACGATCGATAGCGATACATTTACGATAAAGATGGAGTGGACGAAGCCTGCCCCATAAAACAACGCTTTATGTGACTTTCTTAAAATGCGCAGCTCTGAAATGTCTTGCTGATGCCACTGCTCGCGGGAAGAGTCTGCACTGGAGGGAGGTCTAGCGAGCTCCTCACAGGAGGGACGTTGGCGGACACTCTTCCACACTGGCAAGATGTCTTGGAAAATATTTAAGCATCCACACATTTATACTGTTGGGTGGACATTCCTGGTTATCACCCAGTCCAGTGAGCTCATTATTATATATGTGTGACATAGGGGGTCACAATGTATGATGCGTCAATACGGCTGTCCTGTCTCTTGCCTCGGCCAGTCTGTTGCCAAGCACAGCCGTGCACATAAGGGGTGGCGAGATGTTAACTATCTCGCCTGGTATGCAGGACATTGTGGGTTTTATCCCGACCCTGATGACTGTATATTTGGAGTTTGCATGTTCTCCCCGTGGTCACTTGGATTTCTCTCCGGTTTTTCCCTCCACATTTAGAAACATGCATTCAGAGTATGGCTGCTGTAACTTTCTACATGATTGGCCACTTCGTTGAGCTATCATTTGTGGCCAGGTCGCTTCTGAAAGAAGAGCTACATAGCTCAGTGGGCCTTACCTGGTGAAATCAAATAAATAGGTGGCCCACGGAGCAGCAATAACCACGACCAGCCACACCAGCAATCGAGTGATTTCTCGCTGTGCCATTCAAAGAGAAAATCTGGGCTAAGCGCAATTCGGTGAACGCAACCTAAAAGTGGCATTGTACATTTTTCGAGCGTTTACAGAAATAATCGGTGTGAGATTCAGGAAGACACCCCTTCCACGGGGGGGGGGGGGGGGGGGGGGGGGATCTGGCCATTTTGTGTAAGAGTTAGTGTACGCTGCAGATTATTTTATTCATTAGTCTTCCGTGCTCATTTTATGTAAATCTTTTCTTTAGGACACAAAGCACGGGGCGTGCTGACACGGCTCTTTGGTGATAAGTGCCGGCTTGCTGATGTGGCAGCCGTACCGCAAATTGCCAACGCAAATGACAGCCTTACATTTTGTGAAGTAATTATCGGCGCAGCATAATTAAAATTCTATGACTTTGGCAGATTAGCGACCAGGTCTCTCAATTGATGGAAGTAAAACAATATTACATTTTAGCATGTATTGAGGTTACCAAAGCTGAATAAACCAAATAAAAATAATGGTGAAATTAACTAACTAAAATAATCTCATTACAGACAATGCTTATGTCTGAGATCAGGTACCTTAGCGCAATCACTTTATGAGCATTGGATGACACAACATGCTACAACAGCAATGCACTGAGGTGGCTGGTCAGTTCAAGGAGCAGAGCACCTAAAATTAAACCGGCTTCTCAATGGAGTAAGTTGGTGATTCAGAATGGTCATCAATGAACAAAGGAGTGAAACTTTGATTTTCACTTAATTTCGCTAAATTCCAGCTCTGAGAATGATCAAAAGCATATCAGTTTGAAGGCCATGTGACAAACATTTGTGATTGTGTGGCTAATATTGGATCTGAGACAATCGGTGATATCCGCTTCCACGGGCTCTTCTCAAACACAATGGACGGCGTGCTGCTCTGCAAAGGTTAAGAACGGATACTTCGTCTCGAAAACGTGACGCTCACTCATGGCGCTGTTGAGAGATGCAACTGGGCCAAGGAAATAAAGTGAATGAGAAGAAAAGTGACAAGCAGGTAAAAAAGGTCACAAATAATAACAGACAGAAACGGAGCTCATGTATTATGTGCTGCCAAGATGAAAACGTGGGAAATGAATAAAATAATAAAATAAAATGAAACAATATTTTTCGTCCAATAGCCAATCGTCCAAATGTTTTCCAGTGGGATTTGTTAAAACAGCCAAACCGGTTTCTCCTTCATCACTTCATGGGAAAAAAGAGGCCCCTTTTTGCCTTTAACTTCAAGCAGCCCAGCAGCAGCATTTTGTTCACGAGGCACCAAAGTCAAAACCGGTCCACAGTGTTTCCCCCGGCTTCAAGGAAATCCCACTGTGCTCAGAAGACCCACTGTGTGACCGACTGAAATGCTGACACGTTTTATTTTTTACATGGTGAAAACTGTTACCTGGGTCTTTTGGTCAAGTTCAGGTGAAGACGATTGCTCGTGTTGCGATCGAAACGTCGTGATCTATTATTTCTACTTACGTGACTTTACCAAAAGACCCAAAGAGTATGAATCAAGATGTTACCTGGTTCTTAATTCCATATGCAGGGAGGGGATTAGGGCCAGCAGACACTGAACCTATCTCCAAAACGATGATTCGCCAATGAAACCATGATGGTGTGGTGGGAACAAGATAATTACTGCACATATATTTCAGCGGCTAATTTTTGTGGCTGCAAAAACACCCCCAGGCATCTCCGAGTGAGCAACTGCATCGACAGTTTTAAAATTACTATTTAAAAAAAAAGCTTCTTTATGCATGCTTGCTGACACTAAGGGTTATCATTCTCAACCTTGCCGATTGCTCATTTTCAGCACAATATTCCAAAAAAAAAGGTATCGTCATCCCCTACTGCCGCAAGTGGGGTGACCGCCATTGTTTTATTTTTTACGTAAAATCTCACGAAAATTTGCAAAATCCAGATGAGAACTTCACCTTTAAAATGTCCTCATGCCACACGGGAGTGGGAAACGCACAGGATAAACCGCCACACTTTTCTCTTGGTTACATAGTGGGGCAAAACTATTCAACCCCGCCAATATTAGCCCCCTGGATGAGGAAAAGCGCAAGAGATGGGAACGTGACATCGCAGTTTCCGCGACGCCGAGTTAACACCGAACACCAACGGAGCACGAACAGCAATGCGCAAATGAGACAAATTACACAAACGACTGCACAGCAAATGTGCGGCAGATGTCCTCTACCCCCCCCCTTCCCCCCCCACGTACCGGGCAGCACCTTGGCCCACTTGACGACGGGCACCAGCTGCCTCTCGCATAGCCGGTTGAGGCTCGTGAGCAGGTAGTTGGCCGTCATGGGGCGGCTGTTATCGAACCCGGCGTACACCACCTCGGGCTCGATGAGCTGCAGGATCGAGAGGATGGAAGGCGAGTAGGAGAGCCCCGAAACGTTGCTGCCGAAAAGGCTGCTTCCGCTGGGGCCGGAGGAGGAAGAGGAGGAGGAGGGCGTGAGGCGCCCGTCGCGCACCGACGGGTCCCACTGCACTAACGCCTGCGTTGAGGAGCCGGCGCCGCCGTCGCCGCGCCGTGCAGCGTCGTCCCCGCCACTCGTCTTCATCCGCATCCTCTTTGAGCGGTGCGCTGTGGGGGGTGAAGGGGGGGGGGGGGATGGCACGGTACGGTAAGGGTCACGAGGGTCATCCCACCCCACACCTCTTTCGGCTCTGCATTTCAGGTACATCCCAACACACAAGCAACCCAATGTATTAGCATCGTCAGCCGGGGTCAATCCACTGCTGGCTGAAAGGCGTCCACACAAGTTGTCACCATCTCTCCCTATCCGGCGATGTACAGTAACAATCTACCGATAGCACCTGCACGTCAACTGATTTCATTGTCCCCTTAAAAAAATATATGGGGGTAACATTTTTAAAAAAATATTTTGTTTCTTTTTCACAGTTGTATTCCACTTGTGCCGTCGGTGCCATGTCGTGGGACCAAGTGTCCCTTTGGAACTCTCCGACAGCAGTGCATGACTCCGTGTCAGAGACAGGCCCACTTACTGCAGTTGGCACTTTCCCAACATGCCCTGCGACAAACAAATGTCTGTCACATGGCGGCCAAACCAATGTTTTGTAATTCTCACTGATGGGATTTATCCAAATCGGCTCAATCACCGAGACCTGCATTCAAACCCAGCCACTAAACGGTGTCGGTTCGGTGCTCTGACCCCTATGCCATCTACCCACCTCCGGGTGCGATTTTATCTCATTATCAATATGCCATCAATCTGTGGCAGCGGGGCAGCCCCTATTTTGTCCCTTTAAATAAAATAAATCGTCAATAACAGCCATGCACGAGTGAAACCCCCATCCATCCAGTCAAACAAACGAGCGCACCCCCACTGCCGACACTCGTTTCAGGTTTCCCCGGCACGTGCCAACTGCCATCAATGTAATACGGCGGATCCCACAATGCACCGCACGTCGTGATGTCGCTGTTCAGTGCCACCTTCACATCGTCTGTGCAGCGCCGAGTCTCCGCTTTGTTCTGAAGGGTGTGGCAGCCGTTACCGTATTGACGTGAACGGAGGGGGCCAAAGCAGTGTTTCCCAAATTCACGTGAGCTTAACTTCCACATATATATTTTGTCTCTCTCGTTCATGTAGGTGCACCTTTCTGTCGGACAGCTCCGAGACTCGCACCCTACCTCTGCAAGAGCGTCTGGGCCAAAAATGCCCCAGCTCTAATTTAATAGATCCTCACATGTGCCAAACTTTTATCAGAATACTATTTTCTCTCACTCACTGAATAAAGCAACTCAACATTATTTAGTACGCTGTTGTGGCGTTAAGGTGAGCACACCGGACTTGCTTTTTCAGAGTTCACCAATTTAATCTCTCAGCATGGCAGTTAAAACGCTGGTGCAACTTCTTAAATCCACCCCTTGCCTTCGTCCAACCCAGCAGTTTAACGCGTGCACGCACGTTGAACTTATTTTGCACCGTACGTAGCCAACTAAACACAAACAAACAATGGGTGCACACCACACCCTCGTCCATGGGCAAGTCGCGTGAGGTGGGGTAAAGCGGCAGTACTCCCACCTCTTCCCAGATGTTTGACCAGCATGGAAGAGTAGACCAAATACCATCTACAATGACCCTCTAGAACTGCCTCTCCAGGAGGCCAATGCCAGCAGTAAGTGTGAGCACTGGGCAGACGCTTAGGCCACAAATGTCTCTTTTTTTGCAACTTTTGTTTATCATGCCTCTCAACTATGCTCTGTGTGTATATATATAATTGTATCGTATATATATATTTTTAAATAATTGCATAGAATGTCGATGCTTATGTTTGAGTATTAATGTGATGGCTCTTTGAGCGACATATTTGTGCCAGAAAGTCGCCACGTGTGTAAGGCAAAATAAAATGGACTTGACTATGAATTCCCTCCCTTGAGGCGAGCAAGCTCAATCTCAGGGCTTTCTAACCTCTACTTAAAACTAAAACTACATGTATGTTACCAGCTAACGCCCACTGAGCTATATAGCTCTTTTTCAGAAGCAACCTGGCCACAAATGAAAGCTCAACGAAGTGGCTTATCATGTGGAATTCTAAAGCAGCCAAATACTCTGACCGTGTGACGTCGATTCTAAACGTGGAGGGAAAAAACGTAGGACCCGGAGAAAAATCCACGCGACCAAGGGGAGAACGCGCAAACTCCAAATATACAGCAGCAGGCGTCAGGGTCGGGATCGAACCCACGCCCTCCTGTATACCAGGCGAGGTAGTTAACATCTCCTAGCCACCATGGCACCCCTTGCATCGACATTGCAACGATGTCGTACATCATCGCTCCCTGCGCTCTCTTTTTCCATTGGAAATTTTCCACGTTTGCTTTCAGCATCCAAGCACAACAAAGGTGCCACTCAATTCCACAAGCCTCGGTCACAGTGCGGGGAAACCACGCCGATGAGATGTTTACAGGTTGACAGCTCGACAGCATTTAACGCTCGATCTATTAAAAGTAATTGCCAGCTTGAGCCGTCACCGGCAGTGCAGGATGGGCGTCGTGTGGGATTTTTGCTGCGCGTTGAACAGCACGGATATTGTAGCAGTGCTCCTACTCATGGTGTTATTGGTTTAGTGTTGCTACGTCTGCATTTGCCGATGAAGGTGATGACGTGCTTTGAAGGAAGGCAATTGCCCTAAATGTCAACGATTGCACGATTTGTACTCCTTTCAGAGCGGCGTTCATGAATGAATGTGTTAAGTGTATTGTCATGCGTGCTGATGCATCACATTGCTCATACAGTATCACAACATGTTTTTTTTTTAATTATGAAAGCGGTGAATTGGTTAATAAGTACAAATGCTCTCGCAGACATGCGATTGGCATAGCTCCCAAGCTGTAGCCCTGAAACTTTGTAAGCTGTGATGCAATATTTGCAAGCATCTGTAAAAGCGCCAAAGAGAGCAACAGTGTATCATAATAAAGACAGTTAATTAGCACAATAAATTAGGCCGTTATCAACACTTTTAAGCATAATTAACTCAACTTCTCCCTTGCAGTCTAAGACGCCCAAGATTTCACACCAAAAGGAATTTTCTGTCAGCGCAGTCCAACGCCCCACACGGTTGTAATGAGAGAACGGAAGTCGCCCTCCCCCTCGGTCGCATTAGCGGCGGTGGCGATGACGCCGGCGTCGCTTGACACGAGCGGGCGTGAGCTGGCGGAGACGTCGTCAAACTCTCCTCCGACCGCATTCTCGCCGGTGTGCGAAGCTCTCGGTCCAGTGCGTCCATCTACTGCCGGACACGGGGCCGTGCCGATCTGCCCGGGTTAGCGAAGGCGCGGCGGAAGCGTGGACGAGGCAGCATCGTGCGCCACTAAGACGCAGCGGCAGCCAACACCTGCCTGCTTTATGCACGGCGGTCGCTCATCCCAGCATTTAAAGAAAAAGCCTGCTTAGCTTTCTGGAGAGATCGGCCACACTCCAAGTGATTTAGTCACAGGCAATGACATAACACTGTCATGATATTGTAGGCGGTTCATTAAGGTATCATCCATTTTTTTTGAATGTGTATAAATGGACAGCAGTGTGAACCACACGATTGAATGTTTGGGGTTTTGTGAAAGACAAAAATGCTTTTGATTTAAAGCTTTCGTGACTGCAGTAATTCATATTCTAAGCTCTTTCGGTAAAGTCACGTTGAAGGGAAACAATAAAATAATAAAATATATATAAGACAGTAAAAATTCTCACGACGTTTCGACCATAACACAAACGTTTGTGAGCTAAGAATACAAAAATGCTTGCCAAAAACAACCCCCGAACAACAAAAGCTTTGCGTGATCTTCAACAGCACATGAAAGAAGCGTTTGAAACAATCCGACTCAAGGCGTTGGCGAGCAGCGAGCACCGAGAGTACCATTGGGAAGCTCGCACACCTCAAAGCGGACACGTGGAGGATTAGAGGGATGAGACTCGGTACAATAAAGTCTTCACGCTAGCAAGCGCGTGAACAGTTTTATCGACCTGGCTCAGAAACTGCCGTCTCTCCTCTCAAATTATTTCAGTAGAGAAGATACCTCCACGAAGTGGATGACATTAATGTGCTCAGTACGTGCGAGTCACCGAGTGAATGAGTGACAGACTTTTTTTATTTGTTCCACAAAGAACAGAAAGCTTCAATTTGGTACATCCGTAAGTCGAATGCTTTTTATGTGGGGTGGGGGGAATCTGAATAAAAAATAAAGGCTCCCACAAAATATGGCCCACAGGTTAACTGCTTTCACTCAGAAAGCAGGGATAGCTCAGACGAAAGTCTGAATATTCTTTAAGTCTTGCGATAAACACTGACAACAATACAGGGCAATGGAAAAGTCCCCGTGCGGTAAAGTTGTTTTATCACGGATTCACAGCGTGGTGGTCTCTCAAACTGAGCGCCTTTGACATTCAAACATAACGAATACGTGGGAAGCACGTGGTGTGCGACGCACAATCCGTTTCTCTGGTGTCACGTCACATCATCGCGAGGGCTATTTCATTCTTCGGTTCATCCAGACGTTGTTCGATTCGACTCGTATGTAGCGTACGTATGTTGAACGTCTTTCATACCGTGCGTAGCCAACCGTGCTGATCGGTGGTGCGGGGGAATGACCACAAACTAAACACAAGGAAAGCAGTTCTAAAGAAATGAGCTTTCAATCGACATTTAAGACTCGAACATTAACTGCAAGCGCCCTGTATTATCCCCATCACCGGCAAACCAAGTAATTTGTCCCCAATTGAGCGTGATGCAATAGCCGACTGAGTAACCAGTGATTTATTACCATGAATGCGCAACGTCAGCAGCAAAAGACTTCTGGGCATGGCACCTCACCTATGGTGACTCAGCCTAAAATGTGTACCAGCCTAGCGTGGTCAACTGCAGCAACGAGGAGACTTAGGGCAAGCGGGACGCGTGTGGTATTGAGTGGCGCTAACTCTTTGTGCGTAGCGGCGGTATTAATTGGCGCTTGCGGAGAGCACTAGCAACGGGAGTCCGTGGAGCTAAATGTATGGAAATATTTGTAGTGTCTGTGAATATCTGGTGTATATATATAAACAAAATCTTATTCTGACAAGATGCAAATGT